TATGTGGAAAATAATGTGTTTTTTTTACTTTAAACCGCATAAACACATTTCATTACACCAAATACACAAAATAATGTTCTTTTTAGCAGCATCATATGACCCCTTTAAGTTAACGCGTTAAACTAGCAGCCCTAATATATATATATATATATATATATATATACACACACACACACACACACACACACAAACATTATATGAAATTTTCTATATGCAGACAACATACTCTAACAGCATACTAACATACTACTATACATTTGCTAATTTGTATGTATATACACACACACACACACACACACATATTTTATTTAAATCATACAAATAATATTGACATTTTAAAAATGATTGTAGACATACAATTTTAGAATTGAATTTTTACTTAATTGTTACATTTTTATTTTGGTTTATATTTTCTATTAATTTGAATGGGTATTATATAGTATATAGCATTTTCCATATATGCAATATATTCAGATTTATGAAATCATAATCTAACTAAAGGTAAGAATACCTGAGGAACATTGATTATTTCAATTTCAGAGTCTTTTACTCATTCTACACAAAGACTAATATTTCTGTGCAAATGCAAGTATTGTGACTAGCCTCTTCTTTTTGTTTTTGCATACACCATATTAACCTTTTTAAATAAACACTACATTTAGCATGCTGAAAAATGAAAGACCTTTACAGATTTTTTTACCTTTACTCAATTTGGTTCTGCAACACAAAGTATTTGTTATGAAATCTCATTTGCAGCATACATCCACTGTCCACGATTACAGTAAGAACTTATTAAAGCCAATGAGTTATTCTTTGGGTGAACTGTTCCTTGAGATTAAATCCTTGAAAAAAAGTTGTTGAAGGAGGTCAAATGTCTGTACATGATTACATGAAGACTCATAACCTTCATACCCAACATATTTGGCAGTGTTTTGTGTTTCATGTGGCTCTGAATCCTGCCAGGCAGCTTATTAGAAAATTCTTGCTGTGTCTCAGCATCACATCATCTCTACAGCTCTAGATGATTACTCACGTTGGGCTTCCCTCCAAACGCTCAAATATCAGCGCGTCTGTAGGTATTTAATCCAGATTTAATTGTGTTCTGCTGTTTGGTGTGGTACTGTACCTCACGGCAGCTCGGAGCGCTTCAGCTTCTTCCCGTCACACTGTGCCAAAGTAGATGAGTTTGTTAGTGAATAATAGGAAACTGAGGTAACAGATATGATAGGTTTTAGCAGAGTCACTGTACAATGATTATTTATCTTTCAATCAAATCAACATGTTGATGAATGCCCGGTGAGCTGCCATACTGTCAGTAGAGTCTGATAAATGCATGACAAGCTAATTCATCTCTACAGCTCTAGATGATTACTCACGTTGGGCTTCCCTCCAAACGCTCAAATATCAGCGCGTCTGTAGGTATTTAATCCAGATTTAATTGTGTTCTGCTGTTTGGTGTGGTACTGTACCTCACGGCAGCTCGGAGCGCTTCAGCTTCTTCCCGTCACACTGTGCCAAAGTAGATGAGCTTGGTAGTGAATAATAGGAAACTGAGGTAACAGATATGATAGGTTTTAGCAGAGTCACTGTACAATGATTATTTATCTTTCAATCAAATCAACCTGCTGATGAATGCCCGGTGAGCTGCCATACTGTCAGTAGAGTCTGATAAATGCATGACAAGCTAATAATGCAGTACTCTAAATAAATAAAACAGTCAGAAGTCAAAATCAGTTTTGTTTGTTTTTTAATTAAAACAATGTTTTTTTTTAAATGCACTTTTTCAGTAAGCTTATTGCAATGCATCCTGGTATTTTTCTTTCCAAATAACAATACTTGCAAATACAATGTCGTCTGATTTACTAACTACTGTATATCTCAGATGTTTCTCCTAAGATTCTTCTTTGTCAGAAACAAATGTCTTAAAATTATGTATATTACACTTATAATTTAATGGGGAATAGCAAATATAAATAATAATTTTATCATTTTTAAAACCATGTAAAAATTATTTATATAAATTTTTGCCTTTATAAATTGTAACTTACATTTTTTGTTTATATACCTATTTTTAAATTATATTTATAATGTAAAAATGATATAAAATTGTGTAAAAATTACACATTTTTACAGTTTTAAAAATGACAATTACATTATTTTATAAGTAATTTATACTTTCTATTAATTATTATTATAATTCCTATAAATAAATAATTTTACACATAAGTTAGTATACAGTATTTATATGTGTAACAAATAATTTTCAGAGATATGTCTCTATCAAAAAGAAATTAGGAAATATTTTATTTGGAAATAACTATGTTTGAGATGTTTCTCCTAAAATTCCTCTTTGTTTGAGACAAAATTGAGATCACTTCTTAAACTCTAGGAGACATATGATATTACTGGGAGAAACATCTGAGAAGTAGGAGATTTGAGCAAAAGTCTCCATTGGCTTGTGGTTTCATTTTCGTCTAGGAGAAACAAGTAAGGTTTTAAAGACATTTGATTTTTCTCTGCTGTGGTGCTTTGGTTTTTCCTTGCCATTAACGGAGAATGTTACTGTATTTCATGTGCCTCGGCAAACACACTGTATCTCAGTACCAGACTACAGTACAGCGGGTCACGGGTGAGGCGAGAGCATCTCAACACAGAATAAGAATAAATAATCTGCACAGACAGTCGGAGGTGAAGATCCAGATCTGTCATGTTTAAAGAAATCACCTGTGCCATTTAGTGACGCTGAAGAGCGACTGGACCAGAGGATTGTGGGAAGCACGGATATATTCAGTGATGCAGCAATACCTGTGTGAAAATGAATGAACAAGACAAAGAAACAGACTGATAGATCAACCATTTGCAAAAAAATAAAAAATAATAATAATAATTCTCCAGTGCAGTTTGCCACATCGTTGAAAGCATCTATAAACAGTTTTATAAATACACACAACACACATCCAATAAAAAGCGTATGCTTCAAGTAACTATAAACATTTAATAAAGAGTACATACTGTAAATCATATTTACTTTTAAAGACTTGAAATTCCATGTAGATTTAAATTATTTTTAATTTGGATTTGTTTGTTTATTTAGTGATAGTGCCTATAAGAGTTCAATTTTCACAAAGTCATGCTAACAACATTCATAAGAGCACTAGACAAAGTTATCTATATAGCAATGGTTAACTAAAATGTATTGTTGCATGAATAATAAACAACTGATAAAATTGTACACTCCTAAACTATAGTGATGGTGCAATATGATATAATTTAACAATGTTCATTCCTCCAAAACAGAAAACATCTCTCACAAACATCTACATGTCTGTCTCTTTTAAAGTGTTTAGTGTCTATAATGAGCTTTAATAGTAAGGGTTATTATAGCTTAAAGAGGTCATATGATGTTGCTAAAAAGAACATTGTTTTGCGTATTTGGTGTAATGAAATGTGTTTATGCGGTTTAAGGTTAAAAAAACACATTATTTTCCACATACTGTACATTATTGTTTCTCCTCTATGCCCCGCCTTTCTGAAACGCGTCGATTTTTACAAAGCTCATCGGTCTGAAAAGCGAGGTGAGCCGTTTTAGGTAGGCGTGGTTGACTCTTAACTTTTATAAAGAATATCTCTTTGGATTTGAGACTTTAGTCTTTGCAACTTTACAGATCTTCTTTATGCACCAAGAGCTTGTAACACTCCAAAGAGAAAGGAAAACTTGAAATCGCATCATATGACCCCTTTAAGCCAAACCCAGACCTCATTCATTTTCAATGGCCATGGATACACACACACACACATTATTTCTGCATTGTGCTAATTTTCCATTTTTCTATAATTTATAAGGACTTACTGTTGTAAGATGTTTTTCCAGAATCAAAACATTTTAAGCAGACTTAACTAAATACTAGTGCTACTAGTCTAGAATATGTTCTGGACCTACAGCAGCAGACTCTTGAGAGAAGCTGTCCAATGATTACTAATAATAATTATTAAGGCCTGTGACAATCAGTCAGTTTTGCTGTGGAACAGCTTTTCTAATCGCTGCCTCCTCCAGAACGCTGAGATTGGGTTTATTTATTTACCTGCCGGCAGCTGTAGAATCGCCGGCTCGTACTGGAAGCTGACTGATTCATTAGCATTTCTGTTTGCTCGGCTGTTTTTGGACGGCTAAAGCGGAGTGTTTGTTTGTGGAAAGAGGTCTCTGTCCTTCCTCTGCGTAGGATGAGATGAGTTTCCTGTTAAAACAAAAGAAAACAAATGAGCTGTTAGTATTGGCTCAAACAGCACAGAATATTGTTAGCGGCGGAAGGGAGAGCAGGTCATTATGTGTTTGTTTGTCGTCTGGACATGTGGAAGTGTCTGGAACACTGGCCTGATTACACTCACTGAAAACACAGTCAATATAACAACATCAACACAACGCAAATGTCTTACACACACTAGGGCGGCACAGTGGCTCGGTGGTTAGCACTGTTGTCTCACAGCAAGAAGGTCCCTGTTTTCAACATTGATAATAATCAGAAATGTTTCTTGAGCAGCAAATCAGCATATTAGAATGATTTCTGAAAATCATCTGACACTGAAGACTGGAGTAATGATGCTGAAAATTCAGCTTTGATCACAGAAATAAATTACATCAAATATATTCATAAAGAAAACACTTATTTAATTAAATTAATTAATTAAAAATGTTAAAAATGGTTTACACTGTAACGTTGAATGGCTATGATTAATGGCTAAAACTGACAGAAAATATATTTAGTAGAAACATCAGTAGCAGTACTGACATATGATACCGGCCTTCATTAATAATAGGCAAATTAATAAAAAGATGCCATTAAACACACATTTAAAATATTCCCTCTTTAAGTTGCTTCTTGGAGATTCAGTGTAAAAATGAAAAAATTATGATAATATAAATATATTATGTTAATATAAGATTAATCGCAGAAAAATGTGCAAATACAAAGTCATGTCTTAAAATGATTTATATTACACACTTATAGATATACTAAGTTGTGTGTAAAATTGTTTGTACACAATTTATTGCTTAATAGAAAATATAAATCACTTATAAAATAACGTAATTATTTTATCATTTTAAAAAACATATATTTGTTTGAGTAAGTTATAAGTAAGTTTGGGACCAGTAAGATTTTTTAATGTTCATCTTATGCTCATATAATGCTCTCTTATGCTCATCAAGGCTGTATTTATTTGAACACAAATACTGAAAAAACAGTAATACTGTGAAATATTATTGCAATTTCTAATATTGGTTTCCTATTTTAATATACTTTAAAATATAATTTATTTCTGTGATGCAGCGCTGAATTTTCAGCATCATTACGCCATTCTTCAGTGTCGCATGATCCTTCAGAAAGGATCCCCAAACTTTTGAATAGTAGTCTATATTGTACCACAAAATTACTATTTTGAACAAACACTGTTCTTTTTAACTTTTTATTTATCAAAGAATTCTGGAAAAAAAAGTATCACAGGTCCCATAAAATATATTTTGGAACTATTCTTCTAATGTGATTACATTTATTCATTTGGCAGATGCTTTTACGTAAATCAACAACAACTTCCAGTGCGTTCATGGTTCATATTTCATCAGCATGTGAGTTTCTCAATGCACAGCTCTACAGCAGCTCTTACTGATCACAGTCCTGATCAGGACAACACGCGTCCCAAACATTATTCCTACCATTAGTGTACTGTAAATTGCTTTACATAAGCTATAACATTGCTAATATATTCTCTGTGCCTGCTTCCTATATGAAAATCGTTTTGTTGCTGTGGAAACAATAAATGCACACGCAGCTATACAATAACATAAAGATGAATGGCTCAATCTTCAGTCCTCTTCTTATTTCTCATTTCACAGTGGAATTAATGCTCGGCTGGAACACAGTACCTTGTAATATCTTTCACCTGTGTCATGCAGTTTTATAAGCTCATGAGTGTGAACAGATGATGAATGACACATAACGATATGCAATAACTCTCCTGTGTTTACACAGATGAAACTCATCTATATGCTGCATTCAAGTGCTTGTCAGAAGACCCTACTTCCTTCTGAAGTTATTTTTGGGATGCTTGCTACTTGCAATGTGCTATAAAAATGCTTTTTCTGCATGTAAAATGTGCAATATCCAATGAATGGCTACAGACAGGACATAAAACTGACAATGACACCCCATGGCAAATTATTTCAGAAAATGTATCGGCTATGAGACTATGTGCATTACCTCATTGGAGAAACTTATTTTATTTTATTTATTTAACATACATACATACATAAATAGTCTAACAATTAAATAAACCAATAAAGAAATATCACTATAATACTATTGAACTGTAAATTATTTATTTACAGTTCAATAGCATTATTCCACAATGTTTATGTAAAAATTTAGTTCGATTTACAATGATTTGACAGTGAAATCTTCAGTGTTTCTCTGCATCCTCGGACATATGCTTACAGATGTGATCATCTCACAATAATTCCTTTATGCTCATAATATATACAGGACACAAAAACACTATAAAAACACGAATACGAATGTGCCGATGGGCAAGAGAAATGCTATTATGGGAAAAACATAATAGAAATCCAACAAGTTGACCAGAGGGGAAATGAGAAACAAGTGAATTGCATCTGTAGAGTAATTAGTTGAGCTCTGGCTGAAGCGCTGATGGTTGTTTCTGTGTGGGCTGAACAACCAACACACACTGATGAGGAAACAGTTCCAGTCTGTGAGGAGTCATTATCATGTCAGTGATATGATTTTGATGATATGTTGTGGGATAATATTATTTGTTAATGATGGTTTTGGGTTTTAGATTTGGATTAATTCATCTAAATACATGCAGAGTCAATGATAATTAATTCAACATTAAAACCACATAACACACCTAGGGCGGCGTCTGCATGAGCAAAACTTACTACAATGCAGCTGTATGTGTATTATTTCAAGGAAAACAGGCAGAACAAATTAGGAGAACATCTAATTTCAATTTTGATTATAATTATTAATATTCTTATTTATTTAAACAACTTATTACAATTAAATAAAAAAAATATCCCTACAATACTATTGAACTATATATAGTATTTCACAATAAAACTATAATTTTTCTATATAAATTTCATAATCTTAATTTAATCTTCTAATAACAACAGTGCAATTACAATAGTAATATTTATGGTATTTTTTTTTACCATTTTTAAAAAAAACTTTTATTTTGACGGAAAACTGCAGGGAAACCTTTCTTTTGAAACGCTTCTCTTTTGTTAACAACAAATTTACTGCCACAATGCCAGGGTATTGTGGGGGCTTGCCAAAGCAGTCGTTATGCTGTCCTGGGTGGTTTTAGGCACGTTGCTATGCAGTTGCTAGGGTGATTTGTGTGGGGTGGTTTTTAACACGTTGCTATGGTGATCTGGGTGTTTTTTTAACATGTTGCTATGTAGTTGCTATGGTGTTCAGGGTGGTTTTTAACATGTTGCTATGGTGATCTGGGTGTTTTTTTAAAAACATGCAGCTGTGTAGTTGCTATGATGTTCAGGGTGGTTTTTAACATGTTGCTATGGTGTTCTGGAGGTTTGTTAATATGTTGCTATGCAGTTGCTAGGGTGTTCTGGATGGTTTTTAACATGTTGCCATGCAGTTTCTTTGCTGTCCTGGGTGGTTTAATGCATGTTGCTATGCAGTTGCTAGGGTGATCTGAGTGATTTTAACATATTACTATGCAATTGCCATGGGGTTCTGGGTGGTTTTATGCAAATTGCTAAGCAGTTCCTAGAGTGGTCTGGGAAGTTTTTTAGAATGCCAGGGTGTTGTGGGGAACCAATGGATGGCTACAACTTTTGGTCAAATGGCAAAGTGCCACTTTTCACAAACCGACTTACTTGTGATGCAGCATTGTTTTAAAATCAATGATTTGCAGGGTTCTCAGATGTAGCATAGCTTTAGCACATAAGCGCCTAAAGACTCAAATTTTGCGTTACATTTATGTAGAACACAAAGCCTAAGCTTGCTTAAATCTTTAACACTGCTCTTCCGCTGCCGTGTATGGCTGTTTCCATCAGGACATGCAAATCTAGTTATGTTTGAAGTGTGTCAGTAGTTTCTCCACAAATTTCTTTACCGTCTTCAAGAAGATAAATGATTTCCAGAAAAGCCTGCCCTCCAGAAGATCTTTGATCCTGACATGGCCCCTCCAGAGGGACCCGCACAACATAACATTAAATCCTTCAAGTGTGCTCCGGCTCTCTATTCACAGCGGGCAAGTAAATCTGAATAAGAAGTGACATCTTTAAGCTTCATTATATTAGCACATGATCCCCTCTTAAAGTCTCTAGTAGAGCGGTGAGTGTTTACAGTCTGTTACAGTCTCCGCTGCAGCATGTGTTGGAAATTTCCTGAGACTGTGGGCTAATTGTACTCGGGGTAAATGGGGCCTGCTATTCGCTGCCACTGCACACAGGGTGAATCTGATAGATGATCGAAATCGATTTAAGCTTTGAAGCCAGTTCAGAAACCCCCCGCTACCGCTCGCACCCACTGTGTTGGCATTTAGCAGTGGGGTATCAACTTCAAAAATACTGTGCTATTTAGGTTGGCTTGAGAAATCTGACATGCTAGCATGCTGGCAATGTGTCAAATCATGCTACCGACATGTTAAAACATGCTAGCAATGTGCCATATCATGTTACAAACACGTTAAAACATGCTAGCAATTAAACAAGTTAAAACATGCTAGCAATGTGCCAAATTGTGTTAGAAGAAACACGTTAAAACATGCTAGCAATGAAACATGTTAAAATATGCTAGCAATGTGCCAAATGATTTTAGAAACACATTAAAACATGATGGCAATGATACAAGTTTAAATATGCTAGCAATGTGCCAAATGATGTTTCATTGCCAGCATGTTTTAACATGTTTCTAACATAATTTGGCACAACATACCAACATGGCTTCACGGTTGAGATTATATCGCCACCTGTTGGTTTGGCATGCTCTTGACAGTGCTTCATAGCATGCGTTTGCGTTTTCATGTGGACGGAGATTTTTTTAAAAACTCTGTTTAAATGCAGTGATCCAAAACAGTGAATTCAATCACCATTCAGGCAAAACTTTGCTTCAAGAATGAGCCACAATGCTGACGTGATCTAATCGCTAGCACACCCTGAGCACATGTGA